AGGTACCACTGTGGCGTAGCGGTGCCTCACGCATGCCATGGAAAGCAGACTGGTTTCGCCCCGTTGGTGTGATATCCTTTGCTTTGCCTCCGACAACGCGTTTTAGTCCAGTTTTTTTAATGTTTAAATCAGGTGCCCAGTAAAGGGACGTAGACGACGTGCAGGTGGCCTAGCAGGGACACATCGGTTGCGAAGTAACAGATCTAATGAAGAGACTATCTGCACTATCTTGATGACCATCCAGGTCGAAGGCTAGGTGGAAATCTCAATTCAGCTAGAAACATGTCTCCGGATGTAGCATGACATCTTGAATACGTATATCGCATCCACTCAACCCGAAAAATCCTAGCGCCGTCGCTAAGCCGGACAGGCGTTGGAGCCTAGGCATTCTACACCTTCTCTGAACAGCTGTCTCAAAAGGAAGTGAAAAATCGCAGGATGTGAACATGACGCCGATATAGCGTGCATACGGAAGTCGACGCCAGGTTTACACTCTTCACTTCTCCAACAACCAATGGTGAGACTACCAGTCAACGTCGAACAGGTGTTATATTCGCATTCAGAGTTGAAACTACTCCTAGAGGCACGTTTGCGGCCAAACTGAGATTCTGTACCGAAACTTGGACCTGTGGGATAGGAAAGCCCAGACAGTGTCTCCATTTGGTCTGCCACTCACACAATTGAATTATTCTGCTGCGTGGCTAATTTGTAAAAATGTCGAAAACTGGCCTGAAAGCTCTTGTCGGAGACAAAGCAAGAATGTTCCTCGCCATCTGGGGGCAGACCCTTCTTTTCTTGCCACTGGAGGAAAAAGCTACTGGGCTTGTGTAGCCTAGAGGCCAAATGTGCCCATGAGTTCTCATTGCTTTCACATGGAATTTGACCACCAAAAACCCGTTAAGGAGATTCCCGTGGCATTTCGATGTCCATATTCGATCGAAATACATGGTTCTCATTGAAAGCTTCACGGGAACTCAAAACTACTCCCTTGTTATCTGTCACGGGTTCTTAAAAAAAGAAACAAAGAATTTCTATCTAAAGACATCTATTATTACATTGCCATCATCGTCGTAGATTAGAGAGAGGAGTCGAACGAGCTCGGGTTCTTGCGCAGCCAGCGACGACGCTCTAAAATTTCAGGTTTTCGTTTTGAAAAATTTTATCTTCTGAGGATTGTGATTCGTCTTTAATTTCCGCGCATGAAGAAGGGCCCTCAGTTCAGCTCCCATGTCTCTCTGCAAACAAGGCCACAGCATTTTCCAGTCTTTCCAACACGTTATACGCGAATCCGGGATGGAAAAGGCCCACATTTACGCGACCTACACATAAAAATCAAACTATTGAGCCCCGGTGTGCTAAAGACGACAAGAAAGTGCCTAGTTGCAGTGCACTTTTACCAGCTTCGCGATAGAATGTTGTTAGATAAAGACGTTGAGACTAAAGATTGCGTAATTGCTCTATTTGAACACAATTAACGCCGCCCACGTTGGAGTTTGTCGCCTTACATGTTTCAGAGTTCTCTCGCATTAATAATCCCACTATGGCACGTCCAGTCGTTGGGGAAACTTTTGCGAAATACGTCCACAACTTTCATAAAATCTCCTCTCTCTCCCTCCTGTTTATCAAACTCCCAAAACCCCTATCCTCCTACCACTCCTCCGGAGTTTTCTCTCAGACTGGAAATTCTCCGCTTTTGCCTTTCAAAACAAACAGCTTGAGCTGAGGGGGGAAAGTAGCTATTCTGAAAAGCGAAAAACTTGGAAAAGTCAACCCAAATAAGAAATCTTTCTCGAAAGCCAAATGCGACCCGCCTGGCCGATTCCCCGTCTTCTGCAGTTACCCTGCATCTCCCAAAGAGAACAGTTCATTAAATCTAGTCTGCCAAGTGGGAACGACCCTAATGGAAGTATTTGCTCGGTAACCTAATGCACAACACCTTTTGCTTTGCAACCCGCACTATTCCTCCCAGTCCTCATTTCATTTGCGGACCGGTGGGGGACGCTGCCAGTGCGCCTGCTTTTCGCGCGTGCGCTGCCCAACACGTCGTTGCGTGTGCGCCGGTGTTAAGGCGGAGTAAGTGACATTACTGGCTGTATATATTCCCTTCGTGATTACTCGTTTTCTACCACTTTTTGTCGCATACGCGTTTCAACAAAAAAGGCTGAGAACGGCTTCAACAGTGTGCACACTCATACTGGCTGACACGCCCCACCGGTCCGCAATGATGAGGACTGTAAAATTGCGAAGTGTGCCCTCCGGTAATGGGTAGGGAGCTATACTCTAGTTCGCTGCGGACGGTTGGGCGTGTCAGGCAGTATGAGTGTGTCACGCCGTCAAAGCCGTTCTCTGCCTTCTTTGAAGCGCGCATGCGACAAAAGTGGTAGAAAACGAGTAATACGAACGATATGATACAGTCTTATCGCTTATCGCTGATGGAGAACGGGTTTGGCACGGCGCCAGACTCATCCCGCCTGACATGCCCAACCGTCCGCAGCGAACTACACTATAAGAATATTTGCAAGGAAATCACCATAACCATGAGACTTCGGCCACTCACTGGACTTCTTACCTTATTTGCATTTTATTGCAGATGCCAATGGAAGGAAAGTGCATGTGTTGAGGTGATTCATAGGAGCGTTGCGTTGTAAGTGGATTTCTTCGAAATAAACTCAAGATGAAGTTTTAGTTGAGGCTGATGAATCTCCTCAAACTCACCTGATGAAGTAGTAAGCTATTCGCTCACATACTTGGTATACAGTCAAACCGACGAAGAAGGTGAGAACAAGCGCCCATAGCAACCTGAAAACATGATCTCTGCCTAGTATATAGGGGGGCTTACTGAGCTGACTATCTAGTATGACTTTCAAAATGAAGATGGCGATCACCTGAACCAGGTCTTGTACCGAGTGTGAAGGTATCTGAAGCCTAGCATTGAAGTGTCCTCAGCGAAGCGGTTAACTGTCGGCTGTAGTTGCCTGACCTGTTCTTCGGTTCTGCGTCTTCGAGGCATTGCATTCGCGATAGGAACTTGCTGAACGAGATCAGTCAAACTGGTATAATAATAATAGAGAAATATAAAGCTAGGAGAAATACGAGATAAACCACATGAGTGCGAGTTTGTGGAAGCGAGTCTCTGAAGGAAAACACAGCAAGGCCAAAAAGAAAAGGCAAGGAATTCCAAACAACCCATGTAGTAGGCGAATGGCTGGAATCGCCTACTGCCTGACGCGACCACTTCTGGATGGCGATTCTTGACCAGACTAACAAGGTCTTTAGCCGTTCATCCCCACGCAAATAAGGATAAAACTTGGTTAGTCAAGATGAAAACAGGCC